GTCGTGGTGGTGGTGGTGGTACTGTAGTAAGGGAGCGGGTGGATCATGACGTCCGTGGATTGCGATTTTTTTTTTGCTTCGGTGCAGGGTGCAGGAGCGGGGCAAGCACGGGCAAGGGGGAGGGGGGGGAGGGGGTGATGCTGATGACGTCCATGCCTCCTGCGTAGGCATGGACAGTCTTCACACTTGTTACACTTGTTAGACAGTTGGAGCCTTCTTGTGGCGGTCGCATGTGCCGCCTGTTTTAAAGTGGTCTCCAGATGCGTCATTTCCTGTGCCGATGATGACGATGACATGACGATTATGATGATGATGATGGTGAGGATGATGATGACGATGGCGCTTGCTGATGACGGCAATGACGATGAATATAATCATATTGTCTCTAGTCACTCTAGTTTTGACAGTCACTTACTCGATAACCACACAATTGGCGGGCTGTCTCTGCAGCTGTCGCACGACAAGAATCTCGAGCCCCACGGGACTCTCTGCAAAAAGCTGTAAAACGGGCACGTACACACATCGAACAACAAACACGATAAAAAACCACGGTCTTTGCCGCGCTTCCTCAAAAACAGAACACGCACATGCAAGCCACATTCTGCAAATCTTGCACACAAAAACTGAAAAACTCGAGGTTTTTGCATATTCCATAGTCCCGCAAGAGACGAACGACACACTCTTCCCGGCGGCAGATGCGTCCGATGCCTTATTCTTCTGCTTCTTGTTGTTGTGGCTATTACGATATCGTTTCCCCAGCTTCGCCAGGAGATTGTGAAGCTGCTCGCGGACCAGATGGTTTCGCCAGTGCTGTGGGAGCAGCCCTTTGCACAGAGCAGATGGTCACACAGTGCAGACTGCGGCTGTTTGAATATGTAACATGCAAGTAGGTAAGCAAGAGAGCAAGCTAGGAAAGACGGAAGGGAGGGAGTACGCAAGTAAGTAAAGGGAGAAGCCTGCGTCTCTGGTTTGGGATCGGTGGCCAAGGTCCATGCAGCAGGCGATCAGAGATGGCTGCACTGAGCGTGTGACCGAGTGGGGTTGTGGGGGTCAGACTTCGGATTCCAAGATCTCTCCTTGCTCGTGGCGCTTCCTTTGAGGTTCTACGAGCTCGGACCTGGCTCTCAGCTGAAGGGCATCCTGAAGAGAATAGACGGCAAGATTGCCGACAAGATGTGCAACCTCTCTGTCTAGGGAATGTCAAAAACATTGTACATCTTTCAGCTTTGATGGGTGGACCCGTTCATCTGTCCGAAACCCTGATTGGTAAGATGTACTACAACGCTGCAAGCCACATATCCACGAAATGCACACAGCTGGCTGTCGTTTGTCGTGAAGACCTCGTAGGCAGAGACAATCATGTTGTGGAGGCAACTGACCGAAGCTCTGAATCCAAAATTGGCACGTGTAGGCATAGGCACTTCGTCACCAGACATCGCTCAGCTTCCACTGTCCCACGCGAGCGCCTGACAGTGAGAAAAAGGCATTGTTCTCGTGGCCTGCTTTCGGAGTCAGTCTACAAGTCTGTCATTCAGGGCTGTTGTGGGGTTGCGACGCGCGCCATCATGCTCTTGCTACAGAGCCGGCTGGTCCAACGTTTCGGTACTTACAATGAAGAACAAGCACCAATGCCTGAGTCCCATCAGTTGCCAAGCTTCATTCACTCCAACACTTCGGGTAGTTTGTTGTGATGGTGCGCCGTCCGGGCCCACCAAGTGCACGTGAGTATTGTGTCTACCAGAAGCCCACACCATCACACGATCACAGGTCGTCGACTATGTCCTTTATCTTTCGGATGAGGGCATTGGCGAAGAACGGTCCCAGGCAGCTCCCACGTGCTTCCAAATTGTCCATCCCCAGTTTGCTTCTTCAAAGTATAGAGATGTGAAACCTGCCTGGCGCATGAGAGATCCATGTGTGCAAGGCCGGCAATCCTGTCCTGGTTGACGCCAACGAGACTCTCCTTGCAGAGGATACCAACCTCACGAATTTCACGTACCTGCAGGTGCGGCTCATGTGCTGCATACAAGGGGAGCCGAGAAACGCTTGTGCAAGAAGCTTTTCCTATGGCTGTAAGACTCTATAACCATGGCAGAAAAGCCTTTAAGTACCCCCCCCGTTGAAGTCCGCGCCCGTTTGGCAATGTTGACAGATATTTCTCGACACTCGCGGGGGGGGGGGGGGGGGCGGGGGTGCTGTTGGAAGGATCTTGCACCACTCGTTCGACTGGACTAGTTTCCGCTAAGGCGAGTTGATCTGAATCTCTGAAGTTACTATGCAGGTCTATGCCCGATCGGTGCTGGCAGAGCAGAGCCTTGTCAGAAACCACTTCCGCCGTCCCCTTTTCTCTAAAAGGAGGCACCCTCGAAGCTACCGCGAGCATGGCCGGACAATGTCTCGCCACGAGCCAGGCCATCTATCCTATGACGAAAAACACGGCTTGGAAGACATGACCTTGGGTAGTCTATACAGTAATCTCGCACGAGACTACCATGCTTGCAAAGGATCCGTCTCCGACACATTCATCCGTCTACCTGCCTGTCAACTTTCTATCTATCTATCTATCCATCCATCCATCCATTCGATCTATCCATTTTATCTAACAATCTATTCTGTTCTATTCTATCTATCTGTCTGTCTACAAATCTATCGATCTATCTATCTCACTCTCTGCTAGCTCTATCCGTCGATCGATCGTCTATCTTCCATATCTAGGTCTACGATACTTATATCTATACCTATACCTATTTATATATCTAGATATTGATCTGTCTGTATATCTACATATCTATATACGTAAATACTTTGTATCTATACCCATGTATACATACGTCTGTCTATCTCCCTGTCTATCTTTCGCTCTATGTATCTATCTGTCTGTCTATACACATGAACGTATGTCTTGGCATTGGTATATATGCACACGTAAGTGTATATAGATAAGGACTATAGACATATGCCTACACCCTTACAACAGCACATGCTTGCGTGCACGTATGTACATGTACACATACATGGCTACTAGTAGCCCAGAATCAGCTGCAAGACACCCCTCCCAGCTTTCTGACAATCTTTCCGCTAGAACTGTCAGCATCGCTGTGTTTTCTGCACATGGAAGTTTGCGTCATGCGACGCCTGGGCCCACAAAGACAAGCATAGGCACGCATGTTCTAGTTCCATGTGTGCCCCAAAACGCGAGAGATTCAGGCGCCAATGCCCGGTGACGGTGGTACTGTAGCCTTACCTTGGGGTCCTTGTTTCACCCTTACCTGAGCCGGTGTTGCAACCCTTACTACAAATACACCATAAACGTGCAGATGCAGCGTGTGTTCGGAACCAAGGACCACGCCTGCACAGTTCCTTATCAGCGATGCTGCCTCGACTGTCCAAGGTGCAAGAAATTGAAGAATCGGTTCTAGCCTGCTCCTTTGAGAGCATTGCTTCTTGAGGTGGTCCTGAACTCTGAGATCATAGTTGTTCACCTTCACGATGCGATAACCCAACATGCTGGCTACTGTTGTCCTTCTGCATGTCTCTAAACTGCATCGTCGATCGGGTCTTTCGTTTTGTATGAACAAACATGGAATCCCGGCATATTTAAAAATAACAGACCTCAAGTAGCCAGAAAATGTCTGAAGGTAAGCTCTGATGCCGGATCACGAAGCGGTGCTGTAGCACAAATATGCGATGTTCCTGCCTTCTGGCCGGTCAGCCGTATTGGGCAATGTCGATTACATGATTGACAGCCCGATGAAACGAAGCACACCTTGTTGGCCAATCCTGGCCACCAAGCCTGCGCGAAGAAGTGGCACCTGCCCGTAGTTCAACAGTTCATCCCAGCTCGTTAAGAGCAACCAAACAGGCCTTGACTTCATCGACAAGGCGCCGTGGGCAACGATTTCGCAGGTTGATAGGCCCGGGTTCTTTACGACAGGCGGTAGGGCCTTTCGCTGAATCTGCGGTTTATCGCCTAGCGGATTTCCAGCGGCTCTTCTCCAAACCTGGCTCTGAAGATTTATATCTCCATCCTGAGCTTCTGATTCAATCCAAACAGATTAATTAGCTGCCGTGTGGGTGAAACCATGTCTTTCCGCGCATGCTGAACCATCCTCAACCTGAGATGTATAGGACTTCAGACTGGTTGGAGTTCAGGGTCAGCTGAGGGTCAAAGTTTCTAGAGATGCTGACTCTGGAAGGATTTGGATGCTGGCGAGTTGGGCGGCATTGTCACATGGCAGACACTGGGCTTAGTGAGTTCAGCTTTCTGTGGCGTTTTCCTTCAGTTCGTGAAGAGGACACCTGTGGATACGTCGCAGCTCGTCCACTACCGGGTGTTTTTGCCCGCCTCTCAGATCGAGCTGAAGCCTTACCCCGAGGCTGCACCTGAGCAGTACAACGGGTCAATGGGTCAATTTGAATACTTGTGATCGTCGTTGTTGGTAGAATCCGGCTTGGATGGCAGGATTGAGGCTCGGTGGAGGCAAGCTTGAAAGCATGAATTATGGATCAGCAAGCCGGCCCTCGGATCCGACTGGATGAAGTGAGAAGCTGATCGAACTCCAGGTCGAAATAGACTTAGATGGGTGTCTTCAAAGCACTCCCCAAATCCTGCTGCAGATTTATATCGAACTTCTGTGCTGGCTCCACCCTGGCCACGCGCATCAACCCACCGATTCAATCACTTACGGACCCCTACCCCCCCACAATCCCCCGAGATAAGTGTTGGTGGCTTGGTTGCCCAATCGCCTAGGCTCGACAACACCGGGAACAGGCCTTCTGCTGATGTGTCGGGGCATGTGGGTGTCGCTTTACCCTGGCTTTACAAATCTAGTACGCCCGGGCATTGTAGAGCTTGTCTTAGAAAGAGCTCAGAGTCACCCTATCTATTCTGCGTGACATGAAGTGGCGCTAGGCGGACGCACAATTTCAGGTCTCAGATCGGCGTGGATTTGCCACCCAATGTGCAAACAGCCACAGTGGCAGCGGACCAGCCAGCAGCAAGTCCGCGGCCTCAGTATATTCGTACGATCGCAGTCTCTTTCAAAGCAGGGCCTCCAAGAAGAGAGTTTCTTTGCAGACCTCGGTGAGGCCGTCTAGGATCTGAAGTTCGGACTTGCTACTGTATGAATGCCGGGTTTGTCCTGAGTTTGATTACCCTGCAGCCCGCTAGATGCGAGGCACTGCAGCCGCTGTCTTCGCGAAGTCTTCCCTCTTCGAACAGACAATCCCAGCATCAGTCGAAATCAGCGATATCGAGTCCGTGGCGCCTTGTTTGGCCTTCTTTGCCTAAAGGGTGTCAGGTTCAGTGCTTTTGACTGACTGGTCGGAGCACACGCGAACGGCAGGGAGTCTTGTTTGGTGTTGCTGCCATGCGTGTATCTTGAACAGCGTTGCCAGCCTGTGGGAAGAAACCGTAAGTGATCTGATCTGCAACCATAGTGTCTTTCTAGGTGTTGTTGTTTGCACTTCCTGCTCTCTCTCGCCCACTCAAGGCAACGGACCTGCAGTTCGAAGACTTGGATCTGGACACGGATCAGCTACTCGTCTTGAGTGTCAACGTCAGCATAAGATGGAGGACTTGATGAATTCACTGTCATTCCGGTGTGGAGGAGTGAGTGTGGGCAATGTGACTGTAGAAATAGGCTAAAGATTCTACAGATGCAGAGTTTGTGGCGTTCGGGCTCCGCGTGCGTTGCTGTCTCAATTGCACCTCTCCCTTACATGAAAATGTGTGTGTGTGTGAGAGAGAGAGAGAACACCACGGGCAACTCCATGACCATGCAATTACATCACACTGAGGTTCGGCGGGGTGATGAACTTCTCAGAGCCAGCCGATGCGACTCAGGCGCACAGCAAGGGTGCCGTCGTCGTGTCGTGATGGCGAGGTCTGCATAATGTACTTATTCGGAACACTGTCCAAGTATGTCGTGTAGCGATGCAGAAATGCCAGCACAAAGTCTTGGGGGAAGCAGTGTCTTCGCGTCCCTGCAAACCTCCGGTCCTGAAGAACTCGCGCATTGCGCCCGAGCAAAGCAAAACGAAACCGGTGAGGGCTCCAGGTTTCTGGCATCAAAGCTTGAAATCACGAAACATCTGGGCATACTGCCTCGAGGTTTGCTCTAGCATGACTGCTGGCGATCAGAAGACCCGAATGCAACAATGAAGCGCGGCACAAGGAAACAGGGTGGCATGCTGCTTGCACTGTCCCGCGCGTTCTTCATGCTTCCTTCCGCCTAGCTTTGTGGGCTTCTTCTCAAGTCAGCTCGTGGAGAGGTTGCGGCCTATTCGCTCTATTTCGCTGCGGCAGACTTGTCCGGACGGCAGGCCGATCTCTACATGTCAAGCTTGAGAGCATGGTTCACGGCAGCATCTCTCTAGTGTTACGGCGGGTCTGTGAATTGTGATGCCGTCTGTGGGGTTTGCTGTCGCGGTCTTCCGTTCGAGCCTGAAGAAACCACGCTTCGGAGGCCGTCCACTCGGATGTCCCTGGCACTGCAGAGCTGACCGCAACGACCAGCGACAACATCGACCGGGTCGGGGATCAAATCTTGTCAACAACTGTACGAGTTGTTAATAGGAAAATCTTGAAGGAGCTGAGGGCTCCTGCGTCTGTAGTTTGGAGAGCTTTTCCTCGTCTCCTTCCTACTGTGCCCTGAGAACCACAGCATTCTCGAAGCGAGCAGGCGCACTTTGAGGTTTTCCTCGTCTACACAAAGTCCACCTTTGTGGAGCAGTTTCGACCCCAGTTGAGCAGAGGCTTGTGACGGACGATGCCATAGGCCGATACAGCTCTTAGACTGTCATATAGTCGTTTCAGGTGCGGGGATGTAGCCTGACTGCATGACTCCTTTAACTTGTGAACTGCTGCGGAAATGGATGCTTCGCTCCTATGGTCACATCGTGGGTTGATAGTGCCGAAGGGTTGATCCAGCGAAAGAATTTTCGAGTCTGAGAGCGAACAGTGCGGAATCATGAAGGTCTACACCGGCCGCTGCTGTGCTAAACGACACACAGGCTGGACTCTGAGCGTGCAGCCAGTTGCAGCCTGCCAATCATTCTGTTTGTGTGTTGTCCTTGTAGCGACCATTGGGTTACTTTGAGTGCCACTTTCGAGGCTGCTGTCAGCAACATCAGCTTTGTCGACAAGGCTGCCGCAACCATGAGCCTTCACGTGATCACCTCCACCCGATGGCTTGTCGAGGTTGAGATAGTACTTGAGACTCGAGACTATATAGAGACTACGTAGAGACTATAGGAGGGTGAGCAGAAAGGCAAAGTCAACGTCCAATCCTGATCCTGATCACCGAGAGCCTGTCTTGTCCTGGAAACCTTGTGACGCTGAGACTGGTCCAGGATCTGGATGTGGGTGAACTTGGCGGCACGTTGACATGGGCTTCTGAAGGTGACGACTTCGCGGTCCAGGAGCTTGGTCGAATGCAGACCTCACCTAACTGGAAGTAAAGCGTGGTTTGGACTACCAACTTGTGCTCCGTGGGTTCCAGATACATTTACATCGTTTGATGCCACCTCTCTCAGCCTGTTCCTCTGACCCGCATGGATTCGTGCCGCAGGCGAACTGCCTGAGCGACGCACGATAAGCACAGTGTATTTGCAGGACTACCTGGTTTATGTCGTGCAGAACGCTGGCCGGAGTTTGGTCGGAACATCCCCGGTTGGCAGCAACCAGCCACGGCCACAGTCGAGCCGGTCTTGCTTTTGAGAGCTGCAGAGTCTGAGGTTGGCCATTGATCACAACTTCTCACTGCCACCGACGCAGGAGATGCTCAGGGATGAGGAAACGGTTAGTGTAACTGGAGACCAACGCCGGAGAGTTTGGAAACGATCATTGATGTTTATCAAACTTACGATTAACCCCGTAGTTCAGACAAGTCAGCAGGTTGCAACACGAGTCCATACACGGACATCGCAAGACGAGAGTTTACGCAGCAGAGCATTACATGCAACTTCCGCCAAGTTTGGAGACGTCTTCCTCAAGCTTGCCTGCTAACCTCGACCTTACTCGACCGGCTCGTCGCCCTCTTTGAGTTTTGCATAGATCTGCTGCATGAGCTGCATCGAAGGAGATACACATCTACACTCGGTCCAGGCTCTTCGAGAGCACTACACCTCAGGCGCCCTGCAGCAGAAGCCACAGAGCTGTTGTTGCCACTTCCATCCTGCCGATGCTTCCCTCTAATCACTCTAATCCCACTGGCAAGATGACATTTACAAACAACGGGATCCCCACGTCAGCAGGCAGGGGTCGAATCACAGTACCCAAGGGTCGCGGGCGTTGAGGATGTTGAGGTAGGTTCAACGGACGGCCAGGTGCAATTGTGATTTCCTGTACTGAAGCAGTCCGTCGATCAAGGCATCGTGCAAAGTTGAAGGCACGTGGCATACCCCCCTTTCCCACACTGTTCCAAGGCGTCTCAGGCAGCATCCACTCTTCGCAGCCCTCAAACTTGATTTTCTCCGCCTATGCTCCCAGCTTCGAGATGTTGCAGCAGGTGCACAACATCAGCGACACCGATGCCAGCGTATCCAATGTGCAATTTCTGGACGAAGACTTGGACAAGTTCGAGCTTGCAGGCTGCAGAGCACTAACTCAGACGACAAACGAGGCTTGAAGTAGGTCGGGCAGGCAGGTGTAAGCAAGTCAGTATGCAGAAAACCAGAAACCTCGGCTTGTCGAAGGTAGCGGCAATCTGATCCCGATCAGTTGTGACTGTGCAATGAAGCCTAGCAAGAGATCGGCTGTGCAAAGTCTTTCATTAGCTGATTGATGACAGGCCCTGTGGTCTGGACCGAGCCCGCAGATGCAGCGCAGGTGACACACTATCGCGTGGCACAGCAGCAAGTCAGTTTACGAAACGCATCGTCAGTGCGAGTCTGGTGCAAAGTTGTAGTTCCACATGAGGGTTCAAATCTGTGTAGTCGAGAGACTTGCTTATGCTGAGGTTTACTTTGCCACCTCTGCTGTTGGCACGGGAAGATCTCAGCTCGGCCAGGTCTGTGTCACGGGAGCCATAAGCGGACGCTTGAAGTCTGTGTTACAGTGTTGCCATTCGACATGCAAGCCAGCCCTTTCTTGCATGCAGTCTGACACAGAGAGAGGGCAGGCGTGGGTAGCATACGTCCCAGTCTTTTCAGGATGTGCCGGCTGGGACCAACACAGCGTACGTGCCCGACAATTTCCAGTCCTTGTCGGTGTCGCACATCCTTCTGCAGCTTGCTCTGCGCGGGCGAGTTATAGGGGAGGACTTGCAGTCTCACTTCAGCCCTCCTGTGCGAGTCCATGCTTGGAAGTTGGATCCGTGCAGCACGGAATTGTATTCCCAAGCCACATCTTCCGAGTGCTGACACAAGAAAAAGATCAGAGATGCGATAGCCGGGTGCTGTTTTATGCCGTGTCATGTTGGTGAGCCTACACGACTACGCCTGGAAGCAGGCAAGAGTCATCGCAGCCGCAACGGAATAGCCTTGTCTAGGACTGGGTCGCGGCTTCCAACAGCTTCTGCCATGGGGCCACAGGGGCCCGGAAGGTCTCGACCCATTCAGGAGTAAATGAAGCTGCAAAGCTGAAATTCCAAGGTACACTCGATCATCTCTTGCGGAACAGACCACGCCAGTGGCCTTGGAGTTCATCGATGATGCCATCGAGGTGGAGAACATTACATTCACAGACGAGGCCTGCTTGAAAACGTACGTTCATCAGTCCGAACGCTTGTGGCGGATATCCCGGCACCTCGGTACTTGAGTCGAAAGTAGGACTCCCGCAACGTCTTTTGGGTGAACCGACTGACTAGCTTGTTTAGGTCGGGGGCCTCAGGAAGTCTGTCAATTCAATCGTTGCTGTTCACTCGGGACACCTCAGAAGTGTTCTAGCACGAGTCAATTGACAGCCGATGTTCAGTGGAGGACCTGGATCCCTCCGAGCTGGGAGGCAGGTGAACAGAAGCTTGAAAATAGCATTAAATGTGAGAGTTACGTGTTTGGAGCCGGAGACTTTGATTCTGAGAGCGCGGGTCGGTCGGCTGCAGAAGAATTGTGGAGGTTTCAAGGGCAGCGTGGTTCCATTTCAGTAATGGGTTTACTTCCGCTCTTCGTAACGTGACATTGGAGTCGCCAGCATGACACATCCGGCAGTATCTGGTTGATCCAAGCGTGTTACCGAGATTGGGCGTGGTGTGATGAACCTGTTGTGCGTACAGCACATCTGTAAGTTTTGCCTGTCAGGCATGGCTGCATGAACAGTAGACTGCTCATGCTCAACTAGGACACTGGACGCGTTTCCACGCCGATGCGAGGCCAGGTCGCTTGGGAGCCTCCGAATTTCACGGCCACCGCCTCTCGGCTCGATGGTGCGATGCTGGTAGGCCTGGTAGGCTTAGGTTCTGTTTCACGGCTTCGAAGACTCGACTCACGGTTTTCATGGATTGTCTTGCCGTGCTCCAGTCAGCCTCGGCTACATCTTGGCGCTCTAGTGACGTGTACATGCGCCCAAGTTCTTCCATGTCACTGTGGTGGGGTTGGCATGATGCCGGGTGCCAGACTCTAGAACGTCTTATCGAGAATCTGCCTGGGCTTGGCATTCAGCTGGCTTGTACGCATGCGAAGGTGACTCACTTCATCGTCTACCTTACAACCGACGTCCTTGGCACAAACCGCACCAAGGCGAGCTCGGCCTCGAACGACACAACAACAAGTCAGACCTGTGCATTTGTTGGTTGATTTGACTCGAAGTGGCAAGAGCAACACCTTTGTATGTCCTGTCGCCGGGGACCATGACAATCAAACCCAGTCTGTCGTCTTTTGCTTGCGCTCCGGCCCTGCGGTGAAGACACCTTCTGAAAGGCTAAGTGACTATGTGAAACTGTCCGAGCTCGGGCTCGAAGTGCAGGACTTCTCACTTCTAGAACATTAGGACTTTGTCAATCAACGCAGTGCCTCCGTTCGAGGCGTAATCGAAAGTACAAGCCCATTGGCCCAAGTTTTGGACCTATGATACCTATGCATGCACGGAAAACATGCACTGGCTAAGTTGGCGGAAGCATAGCATGCAAACCTATGCTAGAGTTGAACATATCGCAGAAAGACCTGACCGAACCGACTCTTAACTTAGAGACCGGACAACACGTGACGGTGCTTGTCGGAGGTGGGCAGCGAGATACCCTTGGGCACCAACGTGGCCCTGGTGCGCCACTGCCTATCAGTCCTAGGCGAAGCAAGCCTAGGCCGCAATCCAAATCGCTAGCATCTAGAAGCTGTCGGGCTCCACTGCGAATTGGAGACTCTTCAAGCGATGCGGCCGAGACTAAAAAGACCTTTTGGCCGCTGCAGAGGTACCAGCAGAGACCTTGCTGCTGGATTGGAAGTACATCGCAGTCTACATGAAATCGCCGGGGGTCAGGGCTCTCAGAGACAGACTTGTCGATAGCATTGAACATGTGATGTTCGTCAGGGGTGCAGGCTGCTATGCCGCGATACCGTCTCCAGCTGTGCTAAGTAAGATCTTCATGGAAATATATGGACCCACTGCAACCGGGGAATACACACCATGTATCTTCATAACTGTCCTGCACCCTATCCCTTTACCTTCAGCCTGCCGCGAAACACAATAGGCCGAGCAAACGACGCCCAACAGCCTCGAGATCAGCGACACAGCACTGTTGGTGGGGAACTTGGAGATTTTCTGAGCTTCAGGGCGCTGAGGTGTTCGAATGCGGCTCTGCTAGCTGCGATAACGTTCGTCAGTCTTTGTTGCCACGGTGGCCGTGGTTGGATTGCATGTCGGCGCATTCGGCTTCAACTGCATCTCTGGTCGTAACAAATGGTGCATGAGGCGGGCATTCGAATGAGCAGCATAGCGAACTTGGAAATCCAGGTTGTACAATGTTGTGCAGCGTGCAAGCTGAGTGGAGCCGTAGCGAAGCAGCACCCGTGATCAAAGTATGCAATTCTGCGGGAAAGATAAGAATGAAAGAGGTTTCTGACTGAGGCCTCCGGGGTGTCACTCATCGACCTCGACCTGGATCCTCTCGCTGCTTGGCAGCGGCAGTTGTCCCTGACGGGAACAACCAGACTACAGCTTTGAATAAATCTATCGTCCGGACAGCTTGGATTCGCAAGCAATCGTGTCAATATCATTGCTCTTGCACGTGCCTTTTTGCGATCTTTTGCGTCTACTTGACAACGTGGAGACGTCAAGCACATGATGTTTTGCACAACCAGAAGAAATTGTAGGAGCTGGGTGGCACGATAAGCTGGACACCACCCGACGAGACATTGATCACGGACTATGATGCGCCGGCCTCGGATGTCCGCCGGAAGGACCACTTCAGTGCAAACGTGCTTCTTGTTTTAGCTGGTCCCTATTGGCTGCCGTTGTCTCGGCGGCTTCCGGTCTTGGCCTCTAAACTGTATTGATGGACTCTGTCACGTTAGAGGGTCCGTGACTAGGCAGTGTTATCAGCGGTTGTCGACATGTCTTCGGAAGTTCTGGTGGACCAGGCAGGATTCCTCCGGAGGTCGTCTGAGAGTGCATCCAATGGCCATCCAAGGTCTATCTTGCTCCCGGACCAACTGCTGACATCCTGGGCGCACTCGTGAACACCTCTGCCGCGGGGACCACAGAGGCCGGCCAGGCAACGGATTCAAGAGGGCGGGGAGTACTTAGTTCTCTTTTTGCAGGTCTTCCTTTCTGCCGACACGCCACTTCTCAATTTCTCCTATGTGCTGGTCTACGCAAGGCCGCGGGCTAATTCCGTGGTACTGGTAGAAACACGCAGGACAGTATCCAGGTCCTGCCTTTGAAGCATGGCATGGGCTGTGTTCACACGTGTTCACACTCTGTTGGGTGTTGCATGAGAAGACTATGGAACAGACAGTGCTCCAGGCATCTCCAGGCACCAGGTAACGTGTTGAGGCGCTGTGGTCTTATGGGCACCCTCGGCCGAGAATGCAATACCGTATTAATGTTCCCTCCTACAGAAGCAGAAGACTCTCTCGCCATGAATCTCTTTGCCCGGCGCCATCCCGCGCCGATGTTGCGATATGAATGAAGGTCTGCCCTGGCAGAACAGACGACACCCGCTGCGACAGTGCTCAACGACTCGACCCTGGGCTTGCACTTGGAATTGCAAGACACACCAGCATACGCCATACTCTGGCAAATTGTGGAACTCAGAGGCCTTGCCTGGTCCTGTTTTGGTCTGGTTTCTGACGCTTTGACAGGTTTGTGCCCATCCCGGAAGCGAATTTCACGGATCACGATCTGGATGCTGAGCAAGTTGGAGGAGACCTGGAGTCAGGACCTTACTTTAGAAACCCTAGGCCTGCAGAGTTGAGAAGAGATGGCTAGCATCTGATAGACATAAGAACCCCTGAAGACCGAACCACAATCTGCGACATCGAGCCTGATTCTCGAAAAGTGGCTGCAGTCCCCCAAGCGGCCACCGGAGCTCAGGTGGGCCGCTGTTGGTGATGTGGAACTCGTCTCCGGCTACAACCTGTCCCCTGGATGGATGAGTCCAACGAAAAGGGGGACAGCTGTGCGGGGATGCTGTGTGCAGATCTGGGGAATGTCGTGAGGTACCTCTCCGAGTCGGCGACTTCGTCTCCATTTGGGAAGGGACGGAAGGGAGAAAGGGGCAGAAGGGAGCATAGCGTGGCGTGGCCCGGAGGGCCGATAGTATCGAGCAGCAGAACCTACCTGAAACCCCTATCCAACTCGGAAGCCCTCGCCTCGCTCTGACCTCGTTTCCAACAGGCAGATGGGCGATCATTCCGTTCGCAGGCTCTGCCTCATGGTGCTTGTGTCTTCTTGGGGCGGCTGGAGTCATTTTTCCGGCCTGCAGTACTGCCGGTGCCACACGCTGGCTGTAGTACAAGTTTCGTGTCGTGTGCCATCACCACGTTTGTTGTTTGACTGCTGTCCTCAATCCCAGCAAGCAGCTCAGCTGCTACCCCCGAAGCGGCATCCTTCAAATATTGAGTCGCGAGAGGTTCAATGCTTTCATGTCAGCCCTCTGTCTTCTTAAAGACCCCTGAGAAGGTGGGATCATTGGCCTCCGATGCTGCTCGAAGTCTCACTTTCCCAGCCGACATCCCTCGGATAGCCGCGGGATCCCTAGTGCACCACGCAGGGTTTGAGATGGCTTTCGTACTTGTAGGTTGGAGTTGTGGATTTCGCCGATGATTAGCAGCTCGCCTTGGCACCACACTATACACCGAACTTCAAGCCGGGCGTTTGAGTGACGCATAGTGGCGCCGGAGCATGGCACCGGCAACGAGTAGTAAATGACGCACCGGTGGTGAAGCTTTCATACAAAGAAAGGACTGTGAAGTTCAAGCCGGTTTGA